TGATGTCATGTAATATTCTAATTTTCTGAGATTGTGAATTTGGGGTTTTCGTAAGCTGTATGCCATAATCATCACAATTATACCAAAGGCGTGACATATCTCGCTTTGCATGTAATGCGTCTATCTCATATATTGGTTTCACCTTTTGAGTTGCCTTACTGAAATAAATGAACATTTGCACGATATTCTAATTTTTCGAGTTTCACCTGTAAACTTCACCTGTAAAAGAGAGGTAGGACAATGCCTTTACTATGTCAGCAGCTGTTTCTATCATGTGACAAGGGCTGAGTTTTAACAAGGACTGATATTGAGGAGAAACTCTTAATGTCCAGACTGGTTCATAGTAGAAACTGCAGTCTTTCAAATATGCATGCCTTCTGTGATAAGTTACTTGAAAGCCAGTGGTTCTTAGGCCAGAGTTATTAAAACACTCTGCCCAAAAACTAGGTTAATTTGTGAGGAGGAGAAGAACAAAAAGCTAAGTCTTTGAATAGGTATATAAGTCTTATATAGGTATAAGAGGCAGTTGCTCATAGACACTGGTAGTAGGCAACCAACTGTTTCATTTGGCTTTGTTCTTGTTTGTAATAATTCTTTCTGAAGGAAGCTGTGTCTGTGAGACTTCTGCCAATTCCTAGCCTAGGAGCTGAGTTAAGCTGTGTAAAAAGTAAAGGAAATCTGTGATTTACTTTCAGATCCTGATTGGGTAGTTGGATGGTTTGATTGCTCTGCCCTTATCTCCATTACAATGAGATGAGAGCCATAACCTTGAGATAAGGATTACCATGATGGCTATCAACCCACTGGCCAATGCCCTGCTCATATCAGAACCAACGTTTACCCCAATGGACCAGCTAGCCCAGCAGGTGGAAAATAACCTACTGCCAAAGATTCCAGCCCCAATTCAAACTGACTGGTTACCACTGCCAGAACAGCTGCAGCAGTGGCCACTACCATCAAATGCCATATGCCAGCCTTCCCGCCAGAGATGAGAACTGAAGCAAATGCATAGGCTTCCTCACCTTCCAAGGTGAACTGAACATTTCTCTAAGGACTAGGATAAGATGCTTATTGGTGCAACGTTTTTCACCTCATGGTTGTCAGAAGACCCTGAAGGGCGGGCGAGGGGACCATGGTCACTGCAGCAGGTGGACACCTTCCCACGGTACCCTGATTTTCCAACGCGCGAGCAGCCCGTCCGCCCCTTGCAAGGGGACTTAGGGCACTTTAGCAAGCGGCCTCCTCAGGATGGGTGGATCCCGAAGGGCCCGCGCCCCCTTCGCCGGTGCGCTACCGGAGAGAGAAAGCCTCGCCTTTTCTCTCCCCGCCCTTCGCCCTCCGAGTCCTCAACGTGAGCGGCCTGGAGGGCCAGCGGGGGGGGGCCCAACCGCGCTCCCTTCTTCCTCCGCCCAGGTTCGGGGGATG